GAATGAATGCCTTTTGGTGCGCAACTTTATCGCTTCTATGTTCCGTACTGGCAAATGGATATCGTGGAAGATCATTAATGGAAATGACGTCATAAACGATGATGATGACGTCAGCAGCGACGATTGTGATGATAATGATGGTGACGATCATGATGACGACGACGATGACGACGACGATGATGACGTCATGATGGTGACGAAACGAATGCCTGTCGTCACAGTAGACTACATCAGAGCACATCTAGGGTTTTATTACTCTGTCGACATCAACATCAACATGGATCATGATAATGATGATATCAGTGATGATGATAATGATGATATCAGTGATGATGATAATGATGATATCAGTGATGATAATGATGATATCAGTGATGATATTATTGATGATGATGATATCAGTGATGATAATGATGATATCAGTAATGATAATGATGATATCAGTAATGATAATGATGATATCAGTAATGATAATGATGATATCAGTAATGATAATGATGATATCAGTAATGATAATGATGATATTATTGATGATAAGGATGACAATTGACGATGATGATGATGATGAGGAGGATTTATATACACATGTATATTTTCCTAAAAATTTACTGCCAAAAATGCAATCTGACAAGTTTATAGCCTTCGAAGTTAACCGTTCATAAAAAAGTATGAAAAAATTATGGTAAAATACTTAAGAGTACATGCACACACACACACACACACATACACATACATACACGCACACACACGCACACACATGTACGCACATAAATACACACATACACATACACTCAAACATACAGACAGACAAACAAACAAATAGAGACAAGTATACCGCAGGCAAAATCAGCATACGAAACGCAATTATAATGCTCATAAAGTAGGATGATGTGCTGTTAGTCTACAATGCATACAAACAGACTAAAAAGATACAAACATACATACATACGTTCATACATACATACGTTCATACATACATACATACATACGTTCATACATACATACATACATACATACATACATACATACATACACACATACATACATACATACATACATACATACATACATACATACATACATACATACATACATACATACATACATACATACATACATACATACATACATACATACATACATACATACATACATACATACATACATACAAATAAACTTGGACATATACATTGATACACAAACATGTAAACCAATAAACATACATACAAACATACTCAGAAACATCCAAGTCCACAACGCCAAAAACACTAAATGGGCGATAAACAAAGAAAATGAATCGACTGGATATGACCGTTTAACGCATAGGTCCGCGAAAAAACAAATGATTTTAATTAAAATGATTATTTAGCGCTATATAAATGAATTTTAACTGATAACGTTGATAAATATTGTGATGACGATGATGATGAAGATGATGATGACGATAAAGTACATTGCTCTGTAGAATCCATAGTTTATTTATTTTTTTTTTTTTATATTTATTCAACATTTTTTATCTTTGTTTTTTGTGCTTTCACGATCTTTGATAATCGAACCGGTGTATTGATAAACCGGAAAAGGAAAATGTTTACCCATCTTTTCAGATGCTCAAATATTTACTGTCTTTTTTATTCGGATTGCTTAACGCTGTTCTATGTGCTGCAGTAATAAGTAGTAGTAGTAGTTGTAGTAGTAGTAGTTGTTGTTGTTGTTGTAGAAGTAGTAGTAGTAGTAGTAACAGTATTTTTATAGCAGTCTCAATAATAACATTAATAACAATAACAATAATAATAATAATAACAACAACAATAATAATAATAAATAGAATAAATAAACTTGAAATGGAAACGCAATAAGTAAACATTACATGCTCGTATGTATGTATGTACACGTATGTATGTATGTATGTATGTATGTATGTATGTATGTATGTATGTATGTATGTATGTATGTATGTTTGTATGTATGTATGTATGTATGTATGTATGTATGTATGTACGTGTGTGTGTGTATGTATGTATGTATGTATGTATGTATGTATGTACGTATGTATGTTAAAACCAAAACATGATGAGTGACACTGAACCGTCAAACATCAAGTAACAAATGGATTAACACTTTGATTTGTCGTTAATTGCACATGTCGGCATTCAGTTGGATATTTTCAAGCACACAGACACGCAGGAACCGCTGCAACAAGCACGAAATGTGGTTGGTTGCAAAAAACAGTTCCCTGCTGTCACCTGATCTGACACTGATCATTTTGCCTATTTCCTTAAGAAATTTAAGGGTGTTGGGGTCCATCGGGCCAAGAACCTCGATGCAT